ACAATGTATTTACGTTTACCCTATAGTACCAGGAGTACATAACAATATGTTTACATACGCCCGATAGTACCAGGAGTACATAACAATATGTTTACATACGCCCGATAGCACCAGGAGTACATAACAATATGTTTACATATGCCAGATAGTACCAGGAGTACATAACAATGTGTTTACATACGCCCGATAGCACCAGGAATACATAACAATGTGTTTACGTTTGCCCGATAGCACCAGGAGTACATAACAATGTGTTTATGTACTACTGATAGCACTGCGATTATGTAAGAAGGTGTTTATGTACTCCTGGCAGCACTAGAAGTTCGTAATGATGGTCAGCAAGCGTCTTCACGATTATCCATTAATGTAAACGATGAATTTCAGCGTTCCTGATCGACGGACAACTCTTGCATGTTTGTGTTTTGTGTTGCAGGACTTTGGTCTTTCTCTGCTGGAGCAGGGCTGTAAGCTGCGACCGAGCCTGCGTGGGCCTCTCTGCAGCATGATCCTACTCTCCTACCACACCGTCGCCACCTACGTGCTCGGTGAGACGTCCGCACTCGCATGCATCGCGGACTCGTGGCGCCCCCTCGCAGCTTTAGTGTATCCCTTGCGATCGTAGCGCGCCCCCTTGTGACGGAATCGTCGTGTGCGGTCAATCGTGCAGGCGCATCGTGCAAAGTGTAACGTGAGCAATCGGCGAGAATGAAATAAGTTTGTTAGAGTGTTCTTCATTTGGTCTTTGTTAGAGTGGTCTTCGTAAGGAATTGGTGGGATAGTTTATTGTGTCAGCATGCTGCGACACGTGACATTGCTTTTTTTGTTTTAGGTACGGGTGACGGAGATATAGAACTGGCAGAGAGTGTGCTGGGCCCATGCTTGCAGGACTATCCAAATGTATAAACCCACTATCATATTTCACTAATCTGTTTGACATTAATTAGAAAACTGCTGTTTGTGCTAAGTGTCTGCGGATGGACATTGTAATAATCACATGTGTAATTTATGATCAGCTATGTAATGTTTTTTATCGCATTAATGCTAGCTAAAGTACAAGTGTGCGAAGTATTCGAGATTGTGTAAATCAACAAACTAACATTGAATGAGTGTCACTAATATATCGAGACTTGCTTTTACTGGATTTTAGTTGAAGCGATGCCTTAGTTAGTTAAGTTTAATATTTGTAATCAGTTTTTGCCTGTACTTAATTCAAGGGAGTCATCTTCCGATTTTTCGAGGGACGAGTATGTGAGATTAAAGGAGAAGTGGATCAAGTAAGTTTTAGATCATGGAATGCGCCTATTTTATGTAGTAGCCGTTAGAACATGATGAGTGGCAGCCTGATATTATAATAACACGTCATGTGACAATGTGGAGCGTAATTATTTTCTGTAGTTAATATTTTCTGATTCGACAGGCAATAAAGATATTTGAAGATTCGATGTCATTACAAATCGAGTGGAAACAGTTTCATGATCTCTGCTACTGGGAACTGATGTGGTGTCATAGGTAAGCAAGCATGCACCGATAGGAGTTATATTACGTCTCACCAGTGTAAATGCTATGGTGTTGATGATCCGAGTGGCATCGAATACTATGTCGAGTGTTGCATGCGAGCTACACACCCACGTAGACCCGTGATGGTGAGCTGTTACATCGAGACAGAGGTCACCCGATGAGTTCACTTGGTCCTCAATGAGTTCCATTGTCATCTGCGTTACATTGTCATCTGCATTCCGTTGTCATCTGCGTTCCATTGTCATCTGCGTTCCATTGTCATCTGCGTTCCATTGTCATCTGAGTTCCATTGTCATCTGCGTTCCATTGTCATCTGAGTTCCATTGTCGTCTGCATTCCATTGTTATCTGCATTCCATTGTCACATCTGAGTTGCATTGTTTCTAGTTTCCGGTGCGACTGGCTGCAGGCATACAACTATGCGGAGAAGCTGCGTATGGAGAGCCGGTGGTCGCGGGCGACGTACGCCTACCAGCAGGCCGCCTTCCTCCTCATGCAAGACGACGTCAGCGCCGAGACGCGGCAACACGTCATCGACATACTCGCGTGCGTAGATAGCGCCGATCATTTTCCCTCTATATATATATATCAAGAGTACATAATAGAGAAGAGTATGACACTGATTTAACAGCGTTTTGCATAGTTTTCAACTTGTAAATATTCTATCAATATGTGAATAAATATATTCAAACTTTACCTTGTTTTCGTCTATGATTCTCCCTTAATCATATGACACCACCAATTTACCTGAAAATCGTATGTGTTCTTCAAAAAAGTTCTTTGAATACGACACGGTTC